GCTGGTATGAAGGCAATCCCTGAGAGAACAAGCGTCACTGTCAGAGCAGACATTTCTAAACGCTCTCTTTGACCCCTTCTGCGAGCTGTTAGACACCTGTTGCAAATCCTGAACAGCTGTTTAGCACCCTGGTAACGGAGAACTCACATTCATTACGTGCTTCCAAAGTGCTGGGCATTAAAACACGCCCAGAGAGAAGGGTCCTAGTTTTCCTATCACCCTCGCCTCTCAGATGTAACGTACACTTCAGTAAGAAAGAACCGAATCGATTGTGTAAAAAGATTACTTGAGAAAAGTACAGTAAACACAACCTCCCAAATGAGCCAATCTCAATTTACACACAGATTGTTTAAAAATGTGAGTAGACAAAGGTCTTCAGATTGGTTTTCGCTGTTTTGGTTACCAGTGTCCACGAGGAAATACAAATCATCATCAAGTTAGTTCAGAATGAGTATCTGAAAGGAAGCCTGTGTCCTGGCAGTAGGATCAACTGCGGTCAAGTACAGCTGTTAAAAGATTAGGCTGGTCTCCTGCAAGATGTTAGAACAATTTTTTATATTTAAACACACCCATTCATACACATCTCACAAAATACTTTTAGTGCCTTTCTACCAAAGCACTCAAGTTTATCTAATTCATTTTTTATTCACATGCATTTCTAAGAGGCAGGGAATAGCTACATTAAGAAGCTGTGTCTGGCGCAGTGGCTCACACCTGTAATCCCAGCAGTTTGGGAGGCTGACATGGGCGGATCACCAGAGGCCAGGAGTTCGAGACCAGCCTGGCCAACATGTCAAAACCCTGTCTCTACTAAAAATACAAAAATTAGCTGGGCCTAGTGGCAGGTGCCTGGTAATCTCAGCTACTTGGGAGGCTGAGGTGGGAGAATTGCTTGAACCTGGGAGGCGGAGTTTGCATTGAGCCAAGATCATGCCATTGCACTCCAGCCTGGGAGACAGAGTGAGACTCCATCTCAAAGCAAAAAAAAAAAAAGAAAAAGAAAAAGAAACGGTCGGTCTCAGTCATTTGTGCTAGAGCTGATTTTAATCAGCTTAGGGGCTTTGATATAGTATATTATCTAGAAATGCAATAGATATAGTTCTCAACTTTCCTGAGGTAGTAATAATAGCATTCCTAAATAAAACATAATTTTACAAAGTATTTTCATACATAGCCAGTGGGTATGTATGGTAATAAGAATGACTTGTTCAAGTCAGTAAGTGGAGGAAGTCTGGTCTTGTCACTGCAAAGCCTATACCCTCATGTTCAACAAAGGTCATTACTTTGGTGTAAAAGCAGCTGAAGCCAAGCTGAGTTGCTGGCACTTTCCAAGCACTCAATAAATGCTTGTAAATGAATGATGAAAGGAGGAAGGGTGAGAGGGAGAGAGGGAGAGAGAGAGAGAAGGAGGGAGGGAGGGAGGGAGGAAGGAAGGAAGGGAGGGAGGGAGGGAGGGAGAAAAAAAAGAGGGAAGGGGCAAAGGGGAAGGGAATTTGCCATTGATATTTGTAAAAAGGAGTCCTAGAGATTGTTCCCTACATTTGGGGTTCATGAATAGTGTAAATACTTTTCATCAATTATTTAAGAAACAACTTTGACAAAGTTACAGCATTACTGGGAATAATGCTGTCTACATACTCGTGATTTGACTGCTTGATCTCAAATTCATTAGGGAATGGGTTAAGACAGTACTATACTAAGAACAACATTGCCACCTAGTGACACTTATAGTTATTGTCTCTAAAATTGCGTATGACAACTGTTACTTAAAAAAAAAAGATCCACTTAAGAGACTGTGGCGTGTGCAATCCATCATCTTAATCATTTTTCTATACAAGAAACCTTTTCTTGAAATTTTAGTACGTGATAAGCCTTTATGTCTTCATTCAGATTTCCCGGACGGTGCTTCTAAGGGATCTTTTTACACCCAATTTTTCAGTAGTTTTTTTCTATTTCAAAAACTGTGTTTCTTATATTTTAAGAAATATAATTTTATATTTCTATTTCTTATATTTTAATACATATCAATTTTGAGATGCAAATTGATACAATTGCTGCTTTTCAGGATAGATAAGTATATACATTGATTGTGAGACATTCTGATCAGGCTACAGGTGCTAATTATTAAATTAGAAAATTATAGGTTTAATGAGAAGCACCCATCTTGGTCAAAAAGGTTAGAAACTAGACACTTCAATAGCTTCTTTAGTTATATAAAGTTGAGCTGATCAGGTAACTTCAGTAATCTCATCTGTGAAGTGGGATGACTGCCTACTTTATCCACTTCATAGAGTTCTGAGAATCAAGCACAATAACAACTGCTTGTAAAACTGGTCCATGATGGTAAGAAACTAGAGGTGATGTTTCCATAATCATCTTCATGGGAAGAGCACAGCTGCCTGGGTTCAGATGACCGTCTCACTGCTTACTCCCTGTTTAACTTTGGGAACTTGTTTCCCTGCCCCTTGACACTTCATTTGTAGAACAGGGATAATAAAAATACTTACTTCAGGTGGCTCATGCCTGTAATCCCAGCACTTTGGGAGGCTGAGGTGGGTGGATCACTTGAAGCCAGGATTTTGATGGCCAGACCAGCCTGGCCAACATAGTGAAATCCCATCTCTACTAAAATTTAAAAAATTAGCCAGGTGTGGTGGTGCACACCTGTAATTCCAACTACCTGGGAGGCTGAGGCAGGAGAATCACTTGAACCCGGGAGGTGGAGGTTGCAGTAGGCCAAGATTGTGCCACTGCACTCCAGCCTGAGTGACTGTCTCAAACACCAACCTACCTCAAAGGGCAGTTGTGTAACGTGCTTAGTACATAGTGAATACTCAATACATTTTCACTGTGTGACCACACACACACACACACACACACACACACAGATACTGACACTGCAATGGCCACAGGATCAACCAAAAGAGGAAAGATAATAAATAGACAGAGTTTTCATTGTCATCATGAATAATATTTACTGGACACCAAAAAGAAACAAGGTCTTGGCCCAGGTGCCTTCCACTACTGGACTCCACAACACTCCTCACAAATAATATAGATAAAACAGAAGTGTGTCAGGTAAATATAAGGCAGTAGAGAAACAACTGTTTTTAATCTTCAAAACTTTTTCTCTCAATTTTTAAAATCTGGCTTTAAGCAGATTAATGGAATAAGCAGATTTATGATTATGCCAGGGATGGAAACAAGCTAGCTGGAGGGAAGGAAACAGGTAGGACCGGAGAGGTGTTTTACAGCCATCTCCCTTGCTACCTGAGTCCACGCTGCCCCGTCGCCTGGACAATGGCAACAGCCTCCACACTGACCTCTTGCTTCTCCTTGTGCCCCTCCCTTCTAGATACAGCAGCAACACTGATTTTAAAAATGCAGATCACCTTTCTTCCCCGCATTTCACACTTAGACTCTGCCCCAAATACTCTCCCTAGACCCGTATTACCCATGTGCTCTCCCAATGCCCCTGCCATGAGTGCCTTTGAGTGAAGAGCCTCACCCTCATCTTCATATTATGGGGGCCGGACCTCCCTCCTATCATTCAGATCTCAGCTAACTACCCCCTCAGAGGCCTTTCCTGACCACCCTGTCATGTGTGGCCAGTTCTCTGCACAGCACTTACCTGATATTGCACATGGATTGTCTCCCAGCAGAGAATGCAGTCCCATGAGGGCAGCAGCCTTGTCTGACCCAGCTGTTATTCCCAACGCTGACAACAGTGTTGGACACCTAACAGGTGACTGACAGTGGTTCAGCGATGATCAAGATTATCCCACATTTTTCTGTTTCCTGTGAAACACAGTGATTCTCCACCTGGTTTTGTGACACTTTGTGGTGACTTTAAACTTCTAAGTGGAAAAAAGAGCCAGCTGTGGATTTTTGTATTTGTGAGGTCTTGAGCAGGAGCTTCAGTCTAAACTTCAGGTCTATTAATAAAAAGAACTGATACCTCAGCGACCAAGAGGAGTAGGTAACAAATGGGGAAGCTCCCTCATTCTAATGATAAAAGGAAGCCTGGGAAAATTGTTAGCGAGTGAATTCAGCCCAGCCCACTGCACCAAGTTGTAAAGCACCAATATTAAACAACATATAAATGCTTTGATGTTAAGCAGATAAAACACCACCAGAAGGGAAAATTGGTGTTGAACAACCGTTAGGTAATTTTTTAAAACAGATGTTTTCCTTTTTTAGATATTTCTCTTCATTCTCGTATTGCTTGGCCTTGAGGGCTCTAAATGAGTTTAAGCAGCCTTGTCTTTTGACTATTTTCTAGTCTCCATATTTCATGAACTGCCTTCAAATATAAAATAGTATTTTTTTTTAACCTGGGATAGAATTTTCTGAAATTCTGTTCCAATAATCAAGTACCCCAAGTTTATTTTAAACTTCAATAATGACTACAGAATTATGTCATAACAGAACAGAAATGTCTTTGACTTTTAGGCATTTGGGGCTTTTCATACAATATCGTGATTCTAGAACTGTGAGCTCTGAAGTTAAGTGCCCTAGGTTGGAATTCCAACTCTCACATCCTAACAGTGACCCTGATCAACTACTTAAGCTGGCTAAGTCCTCCCACTTGAAATACAGGACTAATAAAAATCCCATAAGGTTGCTGGGAGGATTCAGCAAAAATTGTGTATGCACAATGCTTCACATACAGAAAATGTACAATAACTAATCTTCAGAATTTTGCCTCTCAGAATATTAGACGAATGCAATGTTTAATGTTTTCCCAGATATATTCTATATTTATCATTTGTTTAAACATCTGACTAGAAGCATGACAAAAACAAAGGCATAACTAGGTTTTACTGCATAATAATGTTAAAGGGTACTTAAAAATCCTGAAGAACAGTCTCATATATGTGAAAAATCAATTTTACCATAAAACCTGAATCATATGAAGTGAAAACCTGAAAAAAGGACTACCCCCACCTACCAATCATTTGTTTAACTTGCCATTACATTGCATTTGAGTCAGCATAATCTTTATTTCAAAATAGCATTTTTATTATATAAAAATGTAAAAATCCAGCAAAACCAGAAATACGAATATATTTTCCTGGGCTTTCACATTTGTTGATTTTTATTCGCGATCTCTTTTTCAATACAATTTACACCCTCATCCCCATTTCCAGTCTGATTATACAAGTGCTAAGTGGCAGAAAGGTCTGGAATAAATACATCACAAAAAAGAGGCAAAGCTGTGAAACTAAGTTGCATGCAACAGGTTCTATGAGGGTGGGGAAAGTATCTGAGAAATAAAACAGAGTAAGACAATGTAATTGGAAGGTTTTAGCTAAAGTTCTTTCAGTCATCTTTGTCTTTTGCTCCATGTTTCAGGATGCGTGTGAACTCGATGTAATTGAAGTTCCCCTTTTTGTCAATAGGCGCTTCTCTGTACAGCTCATCCACTTCCTCATCCGTAAACCGATCCCCCATGGTTGTCAGCAGCTCTCTCAGGTAATCTTCCTGAATGGTGCCTGGAAGGCAACAGAAGGAAGAAAGCAATCATGAATACTTCCTGGCACTTTAATAATTCATTTCTAAAGCTAGTCAATCTTATAAACGATCTCAGAATATCCGTATCTATAAAAAAATAAGTGAATTAAGGCTACATGAACTATATCATTACGTTTTCTGATTGTTTTTAGAGTTCTGTATTAATATTAGATCAAATATTTAAAAGCTCAGAAATAGATCATATGCTTACAAAATTAATCTTAAGCAAGTATTTTCTAGAGGTAAAAAAAGAAAACCCTTTCTATTTCAGAGAAGTACTTAATATAGTCTGGAATGAGGCTGGGCATAAACAAACAGCACTCACCTGTTGCTTCTTCATCAAAGCAAGCAAAAGCATTTCTGATGACATCTTCAGGATCTGTGCCATTTAACTTCTCACCAAACATGGTGAGGAACATGGTGAAATTGATGGGGCCTGGAGCCTCATTCATCATGGCATCAAGGTATGCATCAGTGGGATTCTTCCCTGTAAGAATTCACATTTTAACATTTAAAGACAAAAACACTAATTTCAATTAAGTTATTTCACTATTATTATGCTCCCCAACATATTTTTTAAATTTACATCATTTGAAATTAATTTTTCAATTAATTTTAAGAACATTTTTAAGAGATTATTTTTGACAACATAAAAAATAATATAAAAATGTACTCCAGGGTTACAGTGAAGGTTATTTATTCATTTATGTGAACTTTCTATTATTTTTCATTAAAAACAAAACAAAAACCTGACACCAGGCAGTGTCATATTATTACATTTTAATTTTTTTTGAACTACAGGCATGTGCCACCACACCCAGCTAATTTTTGTACAGACTGGGCTTCACTATGTTGCCCAGGCTGGTCTTGAACTCCTGAGCTCAAGTGAGCCACCTGCCTTGGTCTCCCAAAGTGCTGGGATTATAGGCGTGCATCACTGAGCCTGGCCTATACCCTGAATGCTGATAACATCAAGGGTCCATCAGGGGAGTCAGTTCAATACCAGTCATTCAAAACAATCTAAATATTCATATTTCCAATTGTGATACAGATATGCCAATGAGTTGGTATGCTTCAAAGTTGTATTTGTAAGTTGGCCATTTAAGTTTAAACTATTAGCATGGTTTTGAATTGGGAGCATCTTTGAACAGTAGTAGATATCTTCAAATGCTGTTTATGTGTATACGCAGCATTTGAAGGTATCTGATATCACTGAACTGTGGTCTTGTTTGGTATTATTTGTAATGGGCAATCTTAATCTCCACTTCAAGTACGCACATTTCTTTTAGTGCAGTGGGGAGGGAACTCCCTTGATCTTTCCGTAAGAGTGGAAGAAATCTCTCTGGAATGGCCAGACATGGTGGGAGTGTTTTTGAGGCCCCATGGTGTGGGGAAAGCAGCACTGAACCAAGGGTCTGAAATACTGGGTTTGAATACCAGTTCTACCACTGGTTGGGTGATACAGGAGGAAGTGGGAGAACTGGCATTCAAACCCAGTATTCCAGAGCCTTTGTTCAGTGCTGCCCTATTTAGAATTTACTTCTTTTTTTAAAAAAGTCTAAGATTGACTGGTTAAAGTTCGTATCTCAAAGGCATCTTCCAACATTGTTTGTATGATTTTATATGAAAAGAACATCTATTCGTCAGATATTCATATCTAAGGAAGCATCTCAAAATTATACCCAACTAAGTCAAAGCTAGAATGACAATCAAAGCTACACTTACGGTTCATATGTAAGTTTTAATCCTGGGAATTTGGGTGACATTTAAACATCATGTTGGCATCTATTTGACTGCATTGCAAACCTACCTGATTGTACCTACTGAATGTTCCAGTATCAAAATTAGCCCAAAATTAAACTCAATATTCACTAAATAAGTGAAAGTAGCTAAAAAGATCTACTTTCCTACCTCCAAATTTACCCCAACTCACTTGCAGCATTTTTGGGGGGGAAGAAAAACTATAACTGAAAGATGTGAAGAGAATTCTAGGGTACAAAAAGTCACAGGGATGTAAAATGAATTGGTTTAGGCAAAGCACTTATGGACCTGCACAAGACATCCAATGTGATCTGCTGATTTGAAAGGTAAATACGCATCTTTTTAAAATTCATATTTATTTAAATTGTTATGGGTACACAGTAGGTGTATATATTTGTGGGGTATATGAGATACTTTGATACAAGTATATAATGCATAATAGTCACATTGAGGTAAACGGCATGGCCATCCCTTCAAGCACTTATCATTTCTTTGTTACCAACATTCCAATTATACTGAGTTATTTTAAAATGTACAATAATTGTTGTTGACTGCAGTCACCTTGTTGTTCTATCAAACAGAACATTTTATTCATTCTATCTAACTACACTTTGTATCCATTAACCATTCCCACTCTTCTCCTCGCCTTCCCAGTCTCTGATAACCATCCTTCTACTTTCCATCTCCATGAGTTCAATTATTTTAACTTTTAGCTCCCACAAATGTGTAAGAACATGTGAAGCTTGTCTTTCTGTGCCTGGCTTATAATGTCTTCCAGTTCCATCCATGTTGTTGCAATGACAGGATCTCATTTTTTATGGCCAAACAGTATTCTGTTGTACATAGCACCACGTTTTAAAAATCTGTTCATCTGGTGATGTACACTTCTGGTGCTTTCAAATCTTGGCTACTGTGAATAGTGCTGCAATAAACATGGGAGTTCAGGTATCTCTTCAATAATACAACTAATATCCTTTCTTTTGGGTATATACCTAGCAGTGGGATTGCTGGATTATATGGGAACTCTATTTTTCATGATCTGAGGAACCTCCATACTGTCCTCCACAGTGGCTGTACTTATTTACATTCCTACCAATAGTGTATGAAGGTTCCCCTGGAAGGTAAATACATACGTTAAAGCAAACTAAATATGGCCTGAGATAGACTCTGTACTTCTACATTTGAGTCTTTGTGGATGAACTGTAACGTAGCTTAATAGTCAGACAAGACTGAAAACCTAACTTAGGAGTATGAGTCTGTAACAACTGCCAAGTCTTGGCCAATTCCAGTGGTCATACTTCCACCATTCCTACACTGCTGAGTGTTCAAACTGTGTTCAAATAAGGCATATGCAGAGCTGTAATCAATCCAGCCATTCCATACCTCACTTCTAATTTCTGTACGTCATTTCCCTTTTTGTTATCTATAAATCTTCTACTCCATGGCTGCACTGGAGTCTGTGAATCTGCTGTGATTCTGGTGGCTACCTGACTTGCATATTGTTCACTGCTCAATTAAACTCGCTTAAATTTAATTTGGCTGAAGTTGTTCTTTTAACACATATCTTTAAAGGCGTGGGTTTCTGCAAAACAGAAGGCCTCAAAGATAACCTCTGACTCTACCACCACTTGTCCATTCAACCAAACGGTTATTGATCATCTCTCAGGTTACAGACTTGAGAGTTCAATCTTTGGAAGGCAGCTAAGTTCCTCAATTTTCCTCAGTGGCCTTCTTCAGTACTGACTTGCCCAAGAATACACTCAGACATTCTGGATGTAAAAAACACTAGGTTATAATCTAACTGCAAGTCAACAAATCAGATTAAAATGATTCTCCTCTCACCCTGGATAAACAAAAGTTGCAAAATGTTAATGATTAGAGAATATAGCTAAAGATGTATAAGAGTTCACTACAGTGTTCTTTCCATTTTTTCTAGGCTTGGAATTTTTCAAAATCATATGTTGGATAGGAATAAGTACACACCTAAACTTTGCTAGTCATTTTGTGGGCATGAAAAGAAAAAAAAAAAAGACCCCCGCTCTTTCTTTGCCTTTTTAGCCAATCAGTAGAATAGAGTGCAAAGCCTCACTGCAGGCCATCCCTGACCCACTCCCAGCCTGCCTCACCCCCACCACTTTGGTCTATCAAGGTCTCCTTTGCCTGCAGTTCCTTTGACTCCCACCTGTAAAATAACTGCTGCCCCTGGGCGGAACATGAAGGACATTTCCTCCTGTCCTTCATTTTAAGATCAAAAGAAACCACAAATTCATACAAGGAATATTAACACCCAAATACCAACAGTAACAAACGACTGTTTGTGTTTGCTTTAAATCCTGCATCTTTACATTTCCTTTAATTACTAAAAAAAAAAAAAAAAAAAAAAAAACACACGCCAGGCACCGTGGTTCATGCCTATAATCCCAGCACTTTGGGAGGCAGAGGCAGGCGGATCATGAGGTCAGGAGTTCGAGACCAGCCTGCCCAATATTGTGAAACCCCCGTCTCTATTAAAAATACCAGAAAAAAAAAAATAGCTGGGTGTGGTGGCACACACCTGTAGTCCCAGTTACTCAGGAGGCTGAGGCAGGAGAATCTCTTGAACCCAGAAGCAGAGGTTGCAGTGAGCTGAGACTGCACCACTGCACTCCAGCCTGGGCAACAGAGTGAGCGAGGCTCCATCTCAAAAAAAAACACAAACAAAACAAAATTATATAAAATATTGTGAAAGTCTTCTTCCCTGTGTTTCCTCTTCTAGTCGCACTGCCCCTCCTCCCCAGAGATAACCATTATTACTTACTGTCACTTCTTGTTTATAACCTGTACTCAACCTTTATTAAGTATTAGCTACACTTGTTTGAAATTCTGGTATTTTGCTGCCTAGCCATACCCTGGCTTTCCATCTAGAGACCTAAAATATTTAGCTAACAGGACCGTCAGCCTACCTGGGCACAGCATCTGCCAGGTCCCCAACCTTGTAAGCTTATCCCTATATGACTGGCCAAGCCCCAAAATGGCACCTCCCACACCCAGAAATTTCTCCAGAGGCCTTTTGAGATAAGGAGAGAAATATTTGTATATCACACAAAAAAATGATTCACAGACAAATTATTATATTTGGGAAAATGCAAATAAAGAATATAAAGTCTACCTAGAGAAGCGAGCATATCATGCAAATCTTCCTTGTCGATGAAACCGTCTCTGTTCTGATCAATCATGTTGAAGGCCTCTTTGAACTCCTGAATCTGTGACTGGTCAAACATAGCAAACACGTTGGATGTTGCGCGCTGAGGGCGCTTCTTGGTGGTCTTGGTCTTTGCCTTTTTGCTCGACATGGTGGTGGTTTAATTCTGGAGTTGAAAAAAGCACAAAAATATAAAACAAAAAAGAATGCAAAAAACATAAAGCAAAAACAGAATACTTTAGGTGTTAAGTTAGTAGTTAAAAATATCAATATGGAATTATTACTTCAATTGCATGGGAATAGTACACACCTAAACTTTATTTTCAATGTGACAATTAAATAACTGAGTAAGAAAAAAAGCAGTTTTTCAAACATGAAAGAACAGAATTAGCCAGGCGCCAGTGGGTTGCCTACAACCCAACACCTTGGGAGGCCAAGGTGGGAGGATCACTTGAGACTAGGAGTTCAAGACTTGCCTGGGCAACACAGTGAGATCCCCATCTCTAAAAAATAAAGAAACAGAATAGAAATTATTGATGTACTTTCTCCTAAATTGCAGCGGACTAATTTTTATGAAGTGAGAATTTAAAATATCTAACAATAGCTAGTGTCTATGGAGTACTTACTCTAGCAGGTACTTCATGAAGGCATAGGGTTTCCCCAAAGAGAAAGTCTCCAAAGTTGATCTCTTACTCTGACAAAGACTGTCCCCACTTAACCCTCACAATAGTTGCCTATGGTAGATACTCTTATTATTTCCATTTTACTACCAGCATAACATAACCTCTCTGAGCCTCAGATTTTCTATCAGTAAAACATAATACCTACTTCAATGCAAGGTAAGAACTAAATGAGGTAACATATGTAAACAGACTAGTCATGTTCAAAAAGCTCTCATCTTTAAAAATATCAAACTTACCCTTTCATCTTTTGGCTCTTCTAGCTATCCCTCCATTTCCCCTTTCCCTTGACAAAATTTTCAGAATTCCAGTCTAATACTGAACTCTCTCCATTTCCCCCCGTTTTTTATTTTAGAGATGGGGATTCTCACTATATTGCCCAGTCTGGTCTTGAACTCTGGGGCTTGAGAGATCCTCCCAAACTGCTGGGAATATAGACATGAGCCACCGTGTGCAGCCCCTCTTCTCTTCTTCCCAAGCACTCCTTGATTCTCTGCAATATGGCTTTGGTGGTAGCCTCCAACACTTGAAAGCCACCGATAATTTAAATATCAAGCAGAACAGACACTTGTTATTTCTTTTTTTTTAATTTGCAGTTTTAAGTAATAAATAAAACACAAAAATACCATCAGCTCTGGAGTTAGGAAGTCCTGAGTCCAAATCTCAGCTCTACCATTACTAGCTAAATATCACCTCTGAAAACCTACACATCTGTAACCCTAACAGCTTTCAGTGAGTTCTGTGAGTGTTAGCAACTAATCAAACCCAAGGGTGGTCTCAGGACATCCAAACTTGAAACTGCTGTCAAAAATGATGGTCTTGTAGACTGTTCCATAACTTCCTGCAATGTGAAAACAAATGACTAGACATGCCAATGGCCGAGCAGGGGGATTTGGGACCTGCGTCTCTAGGACTTCCAGTATTGGGATTTTTATACATTTATTGTCTACTTCTATTTCTTCAAGCTAAAGAGCATCCCACAGAGTGTTCTGAAGTTTGACTTAGTGGTGTTGTAGTTTGGAAGTACACCAGCCTTACAGTCCTTGCTCTAACATGCCAACCCCTTATCCTCCCCACATACAAGTCCTAAATAAAGGTTAACTTTCTTCTCTTCCCTGTAACTTAGTTTGTTATTTGCCCTTAGTTATGTTGAAGATTAAATCAGAGACAGAATGTAGTCCACTAACAAGGCATTTGATTATGTTCTCATTCTTCAAATACCAAAACTTAGATTAAGGTTCATTCTCATGCTAAAAATTTTGACTCAATTTCTTGAAGATTAATCAAGTAAGTCCGAAGGCAAAAATTATTAGTTCTTTCCTTCAGCAAGTCATTTTTGTAATCGAGTTATTTAGAAAAAGTTCCCAAAGAGTTAAATATTTATTTTAAAAAAATTATCAACTTGGTGTGGTAGCTCACGCCTGCAATCTCAACATGCTGGGAGGCTGAGTCTGGAAGACTGCTTGAGCCCAGGAGTTTGAGACAGGCCTGAGCAACAATGTGAGATCTTGTCTCTACAAAAAAAAAAAAAAAAAAATTAACTAGGTGTGGTGGCACATGCCTGTGGTCCCAGCTACTTACTCAGGAGGTTGGGGTGGGAGGATCACTTGAGTCTGGGAGGTCAAGGACAGTAAACCGTGATGGTGCCCCTAACCTAAGCCTGGGTGACAAAAAGAGACCCTGTCTCAAAAAATCATATCAAATCAAATAAAAATCAGTTAATTGTATCATGCTACTTCTACAACTAACCCAAAAGTATACTATATTTAAACATGTTTGAAGTTTAGTCCAAGTTCTCCAAGAAGGTGATACCAAGATGGGATTAAACATCCAAGGATTTTATTAGGGGAAATGCCTGTGAGAAAGAATAGGGAGTTAGCCTGATAAGGATAGAAGAGCTATCACCATCTGATGGTGACCCCCAAGAGAAGGAAACAGAAAAGGCAAGTTGATGGAAGAGACCAAAAAACAATTCACTAACTGGTCCCAATCAAATACATTAGAGCAGCTATAGGCCCAATGTCGTAATACTGTATTTTAAATTTTTGTTCATACTTCATTTAAAAACTGGCATATTAGTATATGTATATGGTACCTATAAAAACTATACATACAATATCAGCTGAAAAGCGAAGCAAAGTTTTATCAAAATAATCCATCTGAAGGGAACTGTGGCCCCCAAAGAAATCACCATCCTCTCTCCTTCCCTTCTGAAATAAGTATCTTGGCTTTCTCTACCTTCTCACTTCCCACTCACTTTTCAACCCACCACAGTCTGGCTTTCTGTTCCTTACTGCAACTACTTTAATTGCCAAGTCTGGTCTAAATCTTGAATCAGTCTACTGTATGACACTATTTTATCCCTCTTTTCTTTGGAGACTCAGCCCTGTTAGCCTGGTGCCCCATAACAGCAGAAATGAACTGTCCAGGTGGAAAGGGTCCCATCCTTGAAGAACTTACGCTCTAAAGAGGAAGACTGCTAAGTATTATATTGGAAAGACTGATTATAAAATTGTGTATTTGACTTACTCTAGCTCAGTTCTCCTATTTCTAAGACTTCCTCCTCCATTTTCTTCTTAGATGTTTACCTCCACTTAAATATTCTTGTTTCCCAGTATTCTGGCAGCACATGGTTTTAAGTTCTTTTCAGTCTTCATTCCTTGGATGATCTTATCAACTTTCACTGTTCTGACAAACCAAACCTACACCCCCTAAATCTGAACCTCCAGGCCTGACCTTTCCTTGGAGCCTGAGACTCAAATATCTAAATGCCTGTGAAAGGCACCCATCTGGATATCTCACAGACATTCATAATCAACATGCTGAAAACTCAATTATCTCCCCACTCCTGAACTTTCCCATCATCTACCCACAAGCCAGAAACCTAGCAGTCAACTTCCCAAATCCCTCTCCCTGATGATTGAGAAATATTTCTCAGAGTTGCTCATCTTCTTCATTCCTCTGCCACCACCCTAAACTGGATCCTTATTACCTCTTGTGTAAAATATTTCTATGGCCTCCTCCCTAGTCCCCTTGCCTTTTGGCTCTCTCAAAACTACCCTTAGTTTTCTAGCCACGGTTGTCTAAAATATAAATATGACCACCTCATCATTCCACTTTTCAAAATCTTCTTTGGCTCTCCACTTCCTAAAGGATAAAGTACCAAGTTCCTACGCATGGCACATGAGTCTTCCTTTCCCCACTCTAGGATGACCTTTCCAGCCTCCTCTCTAGCCATTCTCTGCTTTGTACTTTTCCTTCAGCAACACCAAACTGCAAATGTCCCCAAGGCACCATGACATTTCTTATCTTGTCTATCTTTGTTCTTGCTATTTTTCCAGCCCCAATCGCCCTGATCTACTTGTCTGCCTTAAGAACAAAGAGAAAATTAAAGGTCTACTCAACTTACAGCTACTATCATTTATTAAGTGACTCATGTGCTAGAAACATTATATGCATTAAATGAAACATGCCCATCTGCCACATGAAGAAACTGAAGGTCAACGATAATAAACAACTTGCCCAAAATCACCTAGTGGCCGAGCTAGGGTTCAAACCCCATTTGTTACAGGTTGTTCACCCTGTATATTTTCTACTTCCTTCTAAATACTCTTCTAATTATTTTGAGTTTGACACAAAATTTTTAAAAACTTTCAATTCTACCGATATAATTCAACACTGATTTCTGAACAGTTACATTCCTCTAAATTCAAATCCTAGACAAGTTGAGTTTTCAAATAAAGCCAAACTATACAAGAGAAATCAATGTACAGAATAGAATCGCAGCAAGTAAATGACATGTGAATGGCAATCCCTGGAATTGTGCAGTGTAGTAGCCAAGGTTGGGTTTAGTCAGGTGGCAGCTATCAGTCATAGCTTTCATTTGAAACTTTGATCTAGGACTGTCAAATTTATTAACGTTTAACTTAAAAGCATTAAAAAAACAAAAATAAACAAACAAACAAAAAATCCAACCCTTAAAGTATAGACAAAAAATAGCAATACAGAACACAGCACAAAATGAATGTAATAACCCTCAACAGCAGTAAAAACACTTCTTCCTTCCTCTGCAACACTGTTACTCTGATATTGCTATAAACTTCTAATATAAAGTGAACTAAAGGACAGAATTAGTACTTAGAGGTTACATCAAAGGCAGGCATGTAAGAATTGATACAGCAGTTCCTCCTTATGTGAGGGGGATACATTCCAAGACCCCCAGTGGATACCTGAAACCAGGGATAGTACCCAACCCACATAGCCAGCCCTCCATATCCACAGGTTCCACACTCACAGATTCAACTGAGAATCAATTGTTTATTTGAAAAAATACAACAATAAAAATACAGTGTAACAACTATTTACATGGCATTTGCATTATATATTATAAGCAATCTAGAGATGATTTAAAGTATTCAGGAGGATATGTGTAGGTTTTATGCAAATAATATGCCATTTTATATGAAGGACTTGAGCATGTGCAGATTCTGGTATCTGCAGGAAGGTCCTGGAACCAACCCTCTGCAGATGCAGATGAATGACTCTATATAGTGTTTTTTTTCTTATATATACATATCTATGATAAAGTTTAATTTATAAATTAAGCACAGTTAGATTAACAATAATAACAAAATAGAACATACTGTAACAAAAATTATGTGGATGAGGTCTCTCTCTGAAAAGATCTCATTGTACTGTACTCACTTATTTTCTGACTCAGTTGACCACAGGTAACTGAAACCCAGAAAGCAAAACCATGGACCACAGAAAGAAGCATAATATAGGACTACTGTATTATGTATTATAGGTGGCTGTGATATCAACATACTTGGTTGATAATAAAAATGTATGCAAAGTCACCTGCAGTACTGATATGCAAAGAGAAACATAGACATCATCATCATCAATAAGTAGAAATTGTCTATGAACTTCAGCTTTATCGAAAGCTTGGGGAAGATGCTCACAGAGCACATTCCGTCAGCTACCTATGACTTCCTCAACATTGCTTTGAGGCTTCAAGTCAGCTAGAGCAAGTAAATATGGCTCCTAAAGCAGTTATATCTTCTGGTTTCAATCTTGGCTGCAAAAAGTGATGCCTGTAGCCTCAAGGTAATGGACTATCTGGGGGTAAAGCCGAGGCAACTGTATTTTCAAAAATGCACCAGGTGATTTCAATGCACCCTGAAGGTTGAGAACCACTTAGAGTATTAAGTTAACCACTCAGATCACACTAGCTGTTTATGCATCTAGTTCCCCTTAGTTTTTCAATGTCATCATTATGGTTTAACCGAGATGCTGGATGACAAAACTAATTCCAGATGAATGACAGAACTAATTACAGTTCTGTTATTCACAAGTTGTATGACTGCTGGTCACTTTGGCTTTCCCAGGCCTCATTTTTCCTCACCCATAAAATAAGAGATCAGAAGTCATAACTTGGCAGCTACTAAACTACATGTAGTCTACACAGAGGTTCATTTAGTAATCCCCAGGCATGACCTTTAAAATGCCTCTTTTAAAAATTGAATTAGTTTGCCAACATTTAAAAAACTAAACATTTTACATAACCTAAATTTCGGATATTTTAAACAACTGTACAATAAGGAATCACCTGACCAGCATCCTGGAAATTCCTGCAGGTAATAATTGCTTGTTCAACAAGCAGTCCCCTCTACTCCCTACATTTCCTTATCCCAGCAGCTATTAGTTTATCTGCCTGGCCCCTCAGAACACTTAAACTTGCTCCTCTGGTCATGGTGGTAGCCAGGTTCCAAGAAAGCCCTCTACAATTCTCATGCCCTTGTGCAGTCCTCTCCAAAATGAAAAGTGTTGACCTGTGTAACCAATAAGATATTGTGAAATGAGGGTGTTTGGCTTTGTCATAATAGACCTTTCAGCTTTTGCCCTGCTGTCTTGGATCACTCAATTGGCAGAAGCCAGGTCATGAAGACACTCCCACAGCCCTACGGAGACATCCATGTGGCAGGGAACTGAGGATTCCAGCAAACAGCCAGCACCAACTTGTCAGCTATGTGTCTGACATTCGGGAGGCTGATCTTCCTTCAGACAACTGCAGCCCCTGGATGCAACCTCATGAGAGACCCTGTGCCAGAACCACCCACCTAAGCTGCTCTGGCTCTGACCCTCAAAAATTGTTTATTGTTTCTAAGGTGCTAAGTTTTGGAGTAATTTGTTGTACACCAATAGAAAACTAATAAAATCACTGTTTCCATGACCTCTTTAATGTTAAAATAGGGCAATGCCTTTATTTCAGAATTACAGCCACAGTCCAAGTTTCAAGGGACCACAATCAACTTTGCATAGCACCGGGAAGTTTCTATTTCTGAGCAGAAAAGTTTAACTCCTTCTATTCAGTTGCCATCCAAGTTCTGTAGGTTCTTTTTACTGAACGAGTCACCCTTCCTCAATCAACATTCCCATCATCACCATCCTGTTCTTCTGGCTGAATTTCTCCGGCTCTGACCAGCAAAACACTTCCTGATTTGCTAGTTATTCTCACTTTCCAATTGGAGTCTCAGAGCTCTGTCCTTTTTTGTAAGTACTGACTGAAAAACTGGTAGCATAAAGGTGCCACTCAAAAATGAGATAATTGGGAAGGGCAGGGAGGAGCTGATTTTGTGAGTAAAGGATGATAAACAGCTCAAATTTTAGCTAGGCCACAGTAGAATGCTAGAAGAGAGGGCAGGACTCTGGGGGGGGGGTCTTGTTTAGCAATGCTGATTTGTGAGCAGAGGCACAAGGTAATGCCCTCAGAGTAGATGAATTCACATAGAAAAGCAGAGAGTAGTTCCTGGGCTAACCTAAGGTCATTTTTACTCCACCTCATCTTCACCAAGGTCTATTAGAATCTTCAAAATTTCTCATGGATTCCCATGGTTATTACTGTAGTCAAGATGAATGTCCTAACTGGAAGACTCAAATAACTGGATACACAAGCGACAGTCTGAAAACAGCAGTCATAAACAGAATTTATTATATATCAAGTTAAAATACTTTATAGAATTAACCTCATATACTTAATGACATATCATTGTTTTTATGCTGCCTATTTAGGCAAAAAAGATAGTTCCATAAATTATACGTATTTTTTTAGGGAGCCAAACCCAATTTTTTCAACTTTTCTTAACATCAGGGAAGCATTTCCCCTAGTACTCTGTAAGTATTTTACCACTTACCCCAAACATATTATAACACTGACATTTCTTTCTCTATTATAGGTTTTATGATCATTCCAGTTGGCTGCGAACTTTCTATTCTCTGAGCTCCCATATCATTTTGTTTTACTGCAGTGAAATTTATATACATTCAAATGTACAAACCTTAATTAATTATTTATTTATTTTTTGAGACAGAGTCTCACTGTCACCCAGGATGGAGTGCAGTGTGTGATCTCAGCTCAGTGCAACCTCCACCACTGGGGTCAAGTAGCTAGGCGTGTGCCACCACATCCAGATACTTTTTCTATTTTTAATAGAGACAACGTTTCACCATGTTGGCCAGGCTGGTCTTGAACTCCTGGCCTCACGATCCACCCACCTCGACCTCCCAAAGTGCCATGATTATAGGTGTGAGCCACCATACCTGGCCTCTTAATAAGCTTTTATAATGTGTATACCCATGTAACCATCATCCCAGTTAAGTTACAAATGTTAACATTGTTCCAGAAAATTCTCTCCAAGTTAACCACCATCTTCCATGGGCAACCACTGTTCAGATTTCTATCACCATAGCTTAGTTTTGTCTTTGAACTTTTTATAAATGGAATTATACAGTACATATCCATACATATGCCTGTCTTCTTTCACTCAATACAATGTTTTGAAGTTCACCTCTCATACTGGGTTTACGGTACAATCATAGCTCACTGTACTCTTGGACTCAAGTGATCATGCTGCCTTAGTCTCTTGAGCTACTGGGACTACAGGCATAAGCCACCACACTTGGCTACTTTGCAAGAAGGGGGTAGGGGGCTACAGTTGGGGTCTTGCTATGTTGCCCAGGTTGGCCTAGCTTCAAATGACCCTACCACTTTTGCCTCCCAAAGCATTGAAACCACCGTGCCTGGCCATATTGCCTTTTGCCTTTCCACCTTGGACTGCAGAACTTAGTAGTGTGCCTTGCACACGACAGGTGGTCCAAGAGTCCTAGTTAAGCAAATATGTGTATATATATATGGTTCCTTCCTGTCACAAACAAAATTACACATATATGTTCATTACAAGGTAGGTCCCAGATCTGAATTCCAATATGAGGCTTTTCTCAATGGTCTACCTATGGTTTCAGTCTCTTCCCCAAAAGATCCCTAAGGAAACTCAGCAGCTAACCCCAGCTCCATACTTGGAAGAAGCAGTACTAACCAGGGACAATAACTGAGTGCTTATGATGTACCAGGCACTGATTTAAGCATCCCGTTTGTGTTAACACATTTAGTCCTCACAACAATTTATAATATACTGTTATCAGCCTCTTCTCTCGGAGGAGAAAATCAGGGTAAAGAGAATAAACAACTTGCCACACAGCTAGAAAATGGCAGAACTCAGAACCAGGATCTGTACTCAAGAAATCTAGCTCCAGAGCTTGAACCACTGGCCCCTAATATGCTGCATAGAGGCAGCTGAAATTCCCTACCATGAAAATGTGAATAGATGGGAGTAACAAGCAATGACACCCCAAAGCTAATGTGTGGAATGAGGAAGGAAGACCCCAAAGATGCTGGCAAAAACGGTATGATAAACTCATCCCCAGATACCTGGAGCCTTTGAATCTTGGGAGAAGGGGAAAACTAGCCCCATGTTGGGGCCCCTGTTCTCTTTCCTAACCGTAGCAACCCTCCTCTGGGGATCTGTCCTTCGGAAGTTGCAGTTCATCTTGTACAAGCTTAGTCTCATCAAAGCATAAACAAACATCGAATCAACCATCATAAAAGTTGTTTCACTCGTGGGGCCAGAACAAAGTCTAGAATCATTACAGAAGCTGGCCAAGAAAAAAAAAAAAGGCGTTTCACTCAACAGAGCTTTCACAAGGCAAAAGCTGTGCTCTTAGTTATAAAGTTCAGGAGAGTTCACCACCTTGGGCAAATTACCTCACCTCTCTGGGTTTCATTTTCCTCAGTTATAAAATGCAAGGCCTTCACAAGGTAATCTATAAGGTCCTACTGAATTCTAAATGCTATGATTCTTCTCTTACCAAAAGACCATTCCAAACCCATCTTAAACTAAACATCCAAGCGAACCCTCTAAACATCCCTTTCTTATTACTCTCTTAGTGAAGACTCCAAAATTACTCTCTATGGCTTCTTATCTAATCTTTTCTTTCTCCTACGTTTTCAAGATATCCATAAGAAGGTCCCACTTACCTATCTACCCTTATTTCCAACTATTAGTCATTACAGTTCTGTTCCATACCCGCTGGTCTTCCCACGGTCTGCTTTTCACAGGACACAATTCCCAGCTTTTGAGTTTTGCTCTTATTACCACCTCCCACACATCCAGCCGGAAACGCTAAGTTCCTCCTAGGGCTGAATTCAAGGCCTTCAGTGAGGTCACGATTCTTTTCCAAGTAACCTTTCCCGATTTCTGTTAATTGTCCTCTTCAATCAACACGAATGAACTAAACCTTTATAAGATGCAAGGCACATTGAGAGAATTACAACTCGATGTAAATTATTACATTTCAGCCTTTATCAACCACACACTCGGGTGCCGGATTGTTAATGGTTTCCTTGGAGGCTTCACCTTCGGCAAGACCGTGCACTAAGAGGCTCCTGCACCCTCCAAAGCATCTAGGACAGTGTGGGGCACAGGGCAGGTGCTCCACACGAATACGCCCTGTCGGCTCTAATCCACCGCCAGGGTCCGCCACGGCCTGGGGAGCGCAGGCCTTGGCTGCGGGGCTGCCCGGCGGTCCAGGGCCCAGGTGACTATGAGGTCACCCAGGTGGCGCAGGGCCGGCCACCTCTCCAGCAGGGCGTCTCCCCAACCCGGCTCCATCGCCTGCAGCCTCCCGGCCCCTGGACGTCGCGGGCCAGGGCCTCGCCGCCTACCCTCCTCCCTCCACCTCCGGCCCCGCGCCCCCTCCTCAGCCAGCCTGACAGGTCCCGCCGCTGCCCGGCCGCAGGCGCGCGACCGGAAGGACGCGGGGACACGGAGGCGGCCCAAGGGGTCCCGCGAGCGGGGTCGAGTGCCACTCACCCGGCGCCAAACACCAGAACCAAGGCCGCCCTGCGCGAGACGACGAGCTACAGCGAAAAGCACAGGGCTGTGGCCGGACAGTGGCGGCGCCGGCACTTCCTGCCTGGAGGGGCGGAGCAGAAGGCGCACCGGAAGGCGCGGCGGGACCAACTGGAACGGGGGTGAGCCGGCTCTTCGCGCCCGGGCTGGCAGAGTCGTGCCCGGGATCGCAGAGAAGCGGGGCTGCTGGCACCGGACGCACACGGCCGGGGTCTTAGCTGCCTCCTCGGCCTGCTCCGATCTGCCGCGGTATCGCTGCCTGCGCCCCGGCGGTCACCCGCAGCCCGGCCCTCGCCACCCCCCGGCTCCCCACGGCAGCTCCGCGGCCCTTCCGCATTCCTGGGCCGGCTGGGCGCGGCGAGGCTGGGCGCTGGAATTTGACCCCGGCGGGCGGCCATCAGCCGAGGATTTGGGGTCCCCTTTGACCCAGGCGGGTCGCGATCCGCCAAGGATTTGGGAGGGCCGAACCCTGAGTTGCCAGATTTTGCAAGTAAAAGTACAGTTCTCCTAAATTTGAATTTCAGACAAGTCAGGTTTTAGCGTTCGTCCAGTGTAATGTCGAGTGAGGGCGCCGCCCGGGGGGATTCTCGTCCGCTCCAGAATCCCCTTCTCTTTTCAAACCGCATTCCAGATCGAGTTAAATCCTTTAACCTACTCCTCCTATCTTATCCTCATAAGGTTTGCGGTCACAGCCTACATTCCCCTTTTAGCCACAAGAAAGTTTTATTCAAATTATTTGCTTTCCTTTAAATTATCAAGAAAATGGCAACGCACATACATACATGCACAGACATATATAATGCTCTTGGCCAAAACAAAGGAAAACACGAAACTACGTTTTTCAGATTTTGTTCTAGATCGTGTTTATGGCTATGTTCTTTAGGATATTTTACCTCACATTGAGGTAATGTAGATGAATAAATAGCATTACTTCAGGATGGTGGAGAATGGCAATCTAATAGCAAATCTTTATTGACCTCTTCTTACTGCTTTGACAAGTGCCGGATGCTGAGAGATGAAGGCAAAGCCTCTGTTCTCAGGGAGTTTATATTCTAGAAATCCTTGACCAGAAATTCCTAGAAGGGAGGGACCTTGTGTTCAGCACTCTATAGCAGTAGTTCTTAAACAGTAGCATACATCATAACCCACAGGGCTTTTTAAAACATTTTTGAGCCTCGAAACCGGGTATTAGGATTCAGTGAGTAAGGCCTGGAGGATAATTAGAATTTCTGGTAGGCACCCATGTGATGCTGATGTGGTGGTCCTCATCCCAGTAGCGCAGCTCTAAATCCAGTTCACAACTGTATGTATTTTCTCAAGTGTTAGAAAAGTAATTGTTGAAAAGACACACCTGGTTCTACAATAGTTACTCTTTTCCCTTAACTGTAGCCTAGGTTTTGGTTCCACAGTTTAATTTAAAAAAAAAAATAAGTTTCTAGATTTGTGCTGTCCAGTACAATAGTCACTAACCAACTGTGGCTAAAGTTAATTTGAAATTCAGTTCCTCAGCTGTATTTGATACATTTTATTTTTAGAGATGGGGTCACCCTATGTTGCCTAACCTGGAATGCAGTGGCTATTCACAGGTGTGAACATAATGCACTAAAACCTGGAACTCCTGGGCTCAAGCAATCGTCTCACCTGAGCCTACCAAGTAGTTGGGACTACAGGTGAGAGACACTGCACCAGTGCACCTGGCAGTATTAGACACTTTTTTTTTTTTTTTGAGATAGAGTCTTGCTTTGTCACCCAGGCTGGAGTGCAGTGGCATGATCTCGGCTCACTGCAACCTCAGACTCCCAGGTTCAAGCAATTCTCCTGCTTTAGCCTCCTGAGTAGCTGGGACTATAGGAAAGTGTCACCACACCCATATATAAAAATATAATTTTTTATATTTTTAGTAGAGACAGGGTTTCACCATGTTGGCCAGAATGGTCTGATCTCTTGACTTCGTGGCTCACCTCAGCCTCCCAAAGTGCTGGGATTACAGGCGTGAGCCACTGGGCCGGCCAGTATTAGACACATTTTATGTGCTCAATAGCCACTTGTGGTTAGTGTCCCTACTGGATGGCACAGAGAACATTTCTATCATTACAGAAACTTCTGTTTGACAGCACTGTTCTGAAAAAATAATTCTTTTTTTTTTTTTGAGACGGAGTTTCACTCGTTCCCCAGGCTGGAATGCAATGGCGTAATCTCAGCTCACTGCAACCTCCGCCTCCTGGGTTCAGGCAATTCTCCTGCCTCAGCCTCCTAAGTAGCTGGGATTACAGGCACGTGCCACCATGCCCAGCTAATTTTTTTGTATTTTTAGTTGAGACGGGGTTTCACCATGTTGACCAGGATAGTCTCAATCTCTTGACCTCATGATCCACCCACCTTGGCCTCCCAAAGTGCTGGGATTACAGGCGTGAGCCACCGCGCCCGGCCCTGAAAAAATAATTCTAAGGTATATTGTCTTATCTAGATGCAAAAGAAAAGCCTATAATAAATAGGCCTCATTTATTAATAAAAATTTATTCACTAATAAAAATAGCTGGGTATCTAAATGTGTATCATTGGGAAATTGTTAATTATAGCATACCCACGTCAAAGATAACTGAAGTTAAGAATGGTTGAAAAAGCAACATACTCAAAACAAAACAATGGTGGCTATGCCAAAACATGAGATATGATTTAAGTAGTCAACGAAACAAGTTGTAAACTCATTACAACTCTAAAATGTATGTGGATAAATACTGGAGAAAAGTCATAATTTGTGCTATTTGAGGAGACGCAGTGAAATCTAGAATAAAAAGACATAGTTTTGGAAGATGGAAGAGCAAGTAGAAATGGAGTAAACAGCAGTGGAAAAACTGGGCATTTCTTCAATGTGGGATTAGCTTCAACAATCCCTTTATGGACAGAAAAAATAAAAATGAGGTTCCAGGGAAATCAATAAATTGTACCTATGAAGAGGGCCTAATGCTACACACGTGAGTCTGGCATATTGGACCTGCTCAGGATAGCGGAAGTCAACTACTTCATCATCCACTAGGTACCAGACAAACTGACAGGTATTTCTATGCATAGTCTTATAAAATCTTCCTAAGAACCTGTTAATGAAATTCTAGTTTGAAATCCATTCACTTTTCTAAGGGCAATCCTACATGTGATCTAGGTTCTGTCACTTCCTAGTTCTTAGACATGATCCATTTTGTTTCACTAACTGTTTCCTCCTAGTTTTTCTGCTTCCACTCAGCCTACAAACAGGCCTGAATCTCTAAAGATAGGCCTTTTGACCCTTCTCACTGGCTCACTGGTAAACAGAATAACTACTATTTGAATACCTAATGTGCCCCAGACCATTTGCCTTTCATGTTTCTAATTTTCAGAAGAAACTCGGATGGTATTGGCCATTTTACAGATGAGGAAACTAGCAATTAAGCGTGACCAAAAACACAAAGCCAGTCAAATAAGCAGGTGCAATTCACTTAACTAAGTATGGCTCCAAGTCCACCCTGTTCTTAATCACACAGATGCTGCTTTATATATTAATAGTATGTTCCTGATATGAACCAAGAGCATTATTTCTATTTTATAAATGAATAAATATGCCAAGGGAGTTTAAATAATTTATGTAAGGCTATAAAGCCATTATGTAGCAACAAATGGGAATTAAGTGTAGGTCTGTCTGACCCCTCACCTAGGCATTATTCACTATCCTGTATTGCATTATGGATTGTGGACTCAAAACTCAGTACCTAATAGCTCTATCAAACGTGACTAATCTTGTCAAATCTCGGGGTGGCGGGGGGGGGTCTCATTTAAACCTTTCCAGACTCCACTTTTCTGTGTTGGGACACTACAGACTAACCTCCTAACTCTCGAAATAAACTAGGTTTCTGTAAGACTGTTTTTGTGGTTCAATTTACCTCTCTGAACTCTTTGATCATTTTTTATCTGATCCTCAAGTCTAGCTGTTAAACCTCTTCCTGTCCTTCCTCTTTTGACTTTGTAGAAAATGGTTCCCTTTCTTTCTCAATTTGCTTTTTTCTCTTATACTCTGGCCTTCCTCCTCTCTTTCCCAGGAGCATTCAATTCTTGCTCTCATCAAGTCATTGGTTCTTTCAAGTAAAATTTGGGGCCTGGAATCCAAATGATCATATCATCATACGCAGATGGATTAAGGATGCCACCCTGATTAGATCGGCTTTGTCCAAAATTTTTTTTTTTAAAGGCAGGGTCTTGCTCTGTCACCCCAGGCTGGAGTGCAGTGGCACAATCAGCTCACCGCTGCCTCAAATTCCTGAGCTCAAGCAATCCTTCCACCTCCATTTCTGGAGTAGCTGGGACTATAGGCATCGGCCACCATGTCTGGCTAATTTTTATTTTTTAATCTTCATACAGAGTTGGGGTTTTGCTTTGCTGCCCAGGCTGATGATGAACTTCTGGCTTCAAGAAGTCTTCCTACTTTGACCTTCCACAGTGCTGAGATTACAGATGTGAGCCACTATGCCCAGCTAGAACTTCTGAAATGTTTTGTTTCAAGTATTACTTTCATCATGGAAACTTTTGAGACTGATTTTTCAGTCAAACACACCATTGAAATGGATGCTTTTACCTTTCTATTGGCAATCATTCTTGTTTAAGCAAAGAATG